CGCTTAGTTTCGTACAGTAGAATAAAATAAACAGTTATCTGCGAACAGTTTGAGTTGCACACCTGGCTCCATGATAGTGGAAATATCATTGATATATACACCAAAAATAAGAGTGGTTCCAGGACAGAAGATGGTTTGGGAATACGATTCACGGGTCATGATATGAAGAATGTCACAATCTCGTCGCGTATGTCGGAAAACACTTTGCAAAAAACAGTGGTACATACCGAGGCGTATGCGGGTATGTGCCACATGTGATGACATTTTATATCTACCCAGCATTGGCGAGAACACACATGGGTATATTTAACGCTTGAGCGTGAAGAAAAAGCTGCCGTAGGCAGCGTTGACATAATAAACGCAAACAATGAATGCCAGAGTCCCAGCAGGAATTAGTGGGAATCAGAAGAATGAGCAGGAATCAGTTTTTTGCAGGAATCAAAACCTAGCATAAAGCTTCGCGAGAATTCCGCCGCAGAGCCAAGCCAGACTCCGCATATACTTTTAGAATAGACACTAATGTCTGTGTAACGACAATTGTGGTCGCAGTACTGGCTTTCCAATTTTACAAATACTAAATGTGTACTCCTATATTACAGCCGTCACGTCAGCTAGGTTAACGTAAATGGTAGTTAGGCACCATCCGCTGAAGTTTATTTGCGTAGCTGTGTCCAGAGCTACTGTCCTTGCGCGCACCAGCGTAAACACCAGCGATTCATATCAGCTTACCGCTTCTGGTATTGCTAATATTCTGTTGCCGTTGGATTCGTCACGCAACTGTAAACAACTGCTAATGCGAAACATATGCGACTGTTTAACGTATCCTTGTGCGTAGATTTCTAGATATGTTCAGCACCAATTAATAACGTCTCGCTTAATGAAAAATTGGCAGATCCCACATACAGTGGGAATCGATGATATGCGAAGTACGAATGAGAAATGTTGATATGTAACTTTATAATTAGCGCAACGCTACGAGGTGAAGATAAATGATGCCGTACATGACTTCCGTGTCACGATTATCATGTTTGGATGTTTAGTTTACCTTCGTCATCTATCCACGTCACGTGATAACAAATATAGTATATTTCGAGCTAGCGAAACGACCGTGAGCACGCTATGAGCGCGGTATGTTGTCATGTTCTTGCATGACACGCGTGTCAAGATTATCGTGTTTGCACCAGTCATATAGCTTAGTCATCCAGTGACGTCACTTACACCAAATTCGGTATATGTGGAGCTAGCAACACGGCCACGAGTGCGTTATGAAGGACCGAATATACTCCAATGTAGCGTTGATGCGCGTGCACGCTGGGCACAGTGATGCTACGTTAGCAAAACTCGAGCACTCTAAAGGCTGACGCCAGGCGCGACCAGCGTCCGTCGGCGCTGCCCGACGGCAACCAGCGGGAAATGCGACATGTTGCATTTCGCACTGATGCATTACCTAGACAACACTGTGTCTCCCTCTTTTCGTGACGGAGGGACGCTGGACGCGCTGAAACAACACCGACTAAATTTCAAGGCCGAAAGGCTGCCGCAGTGACGTCGGAGGTTGGAGGCCCAGTTACCCAACTGAGCATGCTCAGTAAGACTTTTTTTTCCACATCTTTTATTCGGCCCAATCAAGCCGCAGCAGCTGCGAGAGCGGGAGCGTTGGTTCTCCTAAAACGCGAACGAAACACCGGCTTTCCGCCGCGTTCGCGGCGTAACTGGGCCTCCACCCTCTGACGTCACTGCGGCAGCCTTTCGGCCTTGAAATTTAGTCGGTGTTGGCTGAAACGTACATGCGTCAAAGCAACGCAGCGCGGCGCGTGCCTGCGAGTATGTGGCAGGACCGGCGGCAGGCGTGGCAAAGCCGGCGTGACGCGACAAAATGAACGCCGGTGAGCACGCGCACCGTGTCACGTCGAAATGTATTGGCGCTTGGCCTGTGGCATGTAGTCATGTTCTCACATGATATGCATCTCATGATTATCAGGTTTGCACCAGTCACATACCTTCGTCATCCAGTGGGGTCACGTAATACCAAATTTGGCATATGTGAAGCTAGCGAAACGGCCGTGAGCGCATCATGAGTGTAGCATGTAGTCATGTTGTTACATGACACGCATCTCATGATTATCAGGTTTGCACCAGTATCACACCTTCGTCATCCATTCAGGTCCCGTAATACCAAATTTGGTATAATGTGAAGCTAGCGAAACAGCCGCCAGCGCATCATGAGCGTGGCATGTAGCTATGTTGTTACATGACACGTATCTCATGATTATCATGTTTTCATCAGTCACATACCTTTGTCATCCGTTCAAGTACTGTATTGCCAAATTTGGTATATGTGACGCTGGCGAAACGGTTGCGAGCGCATCATGAGCGCGGCATGTAGTCATGTTGTTACATGTGACAGCATATCATGATTTTCATGTGAGGGTCTGTCACTTGTGTTCACCATGCTAATCATGCCATGCCATACCAGTTATTCAACATGCCATGTGAACGAAACAACCGCAAGAGCTGCAGGACAATGAAAAGTTGGCAGTAGGCTAGCAGACGCTGCCTGCGTCGGCATTGCCGAGGCGAGAAAAAATGGAGCGTAGGAGAGGAGATAGAGGGGAGGGGACGCGCATGCGCTGTGGAGCGCGCACGCCACCGGAACGAGCGAGCTCTCAAGATGCTTAGCATCCAAAATGGCTGTTCGACAGAAGTAATTCGTTTTGAACCTATAGGCGCTGGCAAAAGGAATGTCCATCGAGACAGGCTTGTTTCTGCCATCGCATTGGCGCACTAACGTAGTGTTGTCCTCGTCAGTTACGTAGGCGTCGTCAGAGAAGCTCGCACGGTTCACGGTTAGACTTACCGTGCAGGTCTTGCTGCGTTTGCTTAGTTCGGCCATGCCTACGACTGTTATGCCGAAATAATTGCACGCGTTCCTACAAATATCATTATTGAAATGTCCTCACAAGTTGGTCGGATACATCGAATATATTTCTTTAGATGGTACCGTTCGCAGCTCCGCAGTTCTCTCCATCGGTTATATTGTGCTTGATGCGCGAATACGTGCCCAAAAAATCAACTTTAAAAGTCGATGCAGCAGGGTCAATCAGCTTTCTGGAGTATTACTTTTACCTCTGTGAGGCATTCAACCGCCTACGACGAGCCACGGTGGTACGACACAAGGTTAACGGCTGCTATATCATAGCGGTTGGAGACGCCCTACTCATCGGGCAACACCATCGCGAAGGTATCGCCATAAGTGATCGCTTGCCTGGTGTCCGCCGTGCTCGAACTAGACACATTAAAAGAGAAGGTATAGCCCCGTAGCTGCTAGAAAAGCATTCCGCGCTGCTGGGGCGTGAGTAAACACATCACGCACCGTTGCGTGGTTTCGGCAAACGTAAGTAGTGAAATAAGATCATGTACCGACAAACTTTGTTTTTATTTTTTCTGTTTCTTGGACATTGTGATTCCCGGCTATTTCAGTCCTTTCTGAAAGAGCTCGAAGATATAAAATATGCTTAAGAGAAACGGGTGTACAAAGAGCATTTTTATAAAATTTTTTACTGTGTGGTGGGAACTACGTTTAGCAATTGAATGTTGTTGAAATTCAGCGATGTGTGGGCTCTTCTTTGCCAAACCTTGCTTATATTGTCGTCTTTAGTTTTATTCTTGTGGGGAAATCTTGGGGAAAAAGCCAGTGCCGGCATCTCTGCACCAGTTAATTTTGAAACCGCTGTTGGTTCATAAGCCGCACTTTGTAGAACGGGCACTGTAATCGTCCCGCTGAATTGGTCATAACGTTACACGGTTTTCCTCCCTGACTTCGCGGGCTTTTTCGAGCGAGACGAAAAAAGTATTGTGCAATGAATAGAGGTCAAAAGCTTTCGAGTGTTTTGCAAAATGCTTTGCGACATCAACACTGAAATTTTTGCCCTAAGTTTAGTACTTGCGAAATCGGATCAGTAACTATGGATTTCAGCACTATGCAAAATTTTGGCATGATTTGCTGCGTCACTGAATTCAACCCAGAATTTTACCCAATATACATTGAAATTATGAATGACGCAGGCTAGGTGGAACTAGCCCATGCTGCAAACCTAATAATAATTGCTCGGGCATTACGAGCCAAAATCTTCATAGAGTTACAACGCACATCGTGTTGGGGGACTCCGACTTACTTTAAGACTTGGCGAGGTTCTTTAACGTGTGCTTAAATACAAGCTCATGGGTTGCCTTTCGCACTCACCTAAATGCGACCGTGCACTGAACCCTCGAGCTTACCAGTGCGACCCCTTTACGCGCCAAGCTAGTATACGGCGGCTGAGATGCATGTCTATGTGCTTGTCTGAGCTACTCAAGTGGTTGGTATCATAGAGATTCCTAAAATTAACTAGAGGGGACTCTGGCGCTGCGATCGCTCAGCGACCATGGTAATGATGGGTAGTACACACATTTGCCCAGTCTTCGTACTTGCGGACGGGGAATCGTACTTGCGGCTTCGTTTATTGCTGTGTTTCGGTTTTGTTTTGAGAGAAAGATTCAACCCTTTTGAACGTCATGACCCGATTTCAAAAGGTAAGTCTGAAAAATAAGATGGTGAAGCGCAGCCGCTGAACATTTGCTAATATTTGTTTCGTGAGAAGACAACTTTAAGCCACACGAAACACACGGAGCCAGAAGCAGGCCACAAGTACGAATATTAGACAAATGTGTGTACTACCCATCAATCCCATGCTCACTGAAGCGCCGTGTGTTGCAGCTCCCATAGACACTAGCGCCAGAGTTCCCTCTAGTGTATAATACAAAACTCTATGGTTGGTATAAGGTGAAAAAGAGTTCAGTGCAATTTTAGTTGCAATAGAATTCGTTGTAATACTTGTAAACTCACTTGTATAATCTTTACAAAAAAGCTTATGAAACAACCCATGCTGTTTATGCCTTACTCATGTTCATACTCCATGCACAAACTGCGAGTATTTCAACTTACTGCGCACAACACTCACCTGCCGTGAAATTATCCGCACTGATTTGTTTTCTCCTCTTCCAGTACACGTACAGAATGTACCAGAACGGTATCCAATCCCAAGGTCCGGGCACGGGCTTCAACGCCAGCCACATCTTGAGCCAGGGCAAGTAGTGCTTCTTCAGGAACCATCCCTGCAAAGAGCACCGCCACTGTCCACGCGAGTGTCTGACACGTGACCCACTGGGAAAGCGATGCGACCAGCGCCGCTTGTTGGGCCATCACGGCGCACGGGCTGTCTGTCACTCTACCGGCACCCGTTCAAAGAAAATATTTCTCCGCCGCATCAGGACCCCTCCTTATAACCGACGGCCACCGACCGCCTCCGCACTTGGGTTTGTCTCTCTCTCTTTTACAGCTCTTCTGTTTTATCTCTTTTTTACTCCGCAGCCCCTAGTTAAGAAAACAGGTGAAAGAGTAGAGGGGAGAGAGCGTAAGGGTGTCTTAGTAAATAAGTAGCAGCAGGTGGTCCGGTGCTGCCAGTTTTGAATGGCGTCCAGCGCAGCGGTGTGATGCATAGCGTGCGCAGCCTGCAGAGTAGCAGGCGTCATGAAAATACGCGATCCGGCGCTGCCAGCCACGTATGACGTCCAGCACACGTGTTTACAGACAGCGATGAAGGGAACTGTACACTTGGCAGGGAACAAGCGAGTGACTCCTCTCTCTCTGGCTGGCTATATTTTCCTACACCTACCCTTAGTGACCTTTGCACGTTTTAAACTAAGCACGGAACATGCTAAGTACTCGCTTTCTCACGAGGCCACGTTTATTTCACTCACGTCTAACCTTTACTGCACACAACTCTATGATATAGTCAGGGGGGGGGGGGGGGGGGATAGAGTGAGAGGAACAGGGTGGTACTTTTGATGCATTACACCTGACTGCAAAGGTCATTAAGTTGAAGCCTCTCAGTCCTCTCATCGTATCCTCCTCTTCTTCTTTCTCTCTTCTTCATACCTGCAACGAAACACACTCTTACACAGGAGACGCCATCAGCTGATATGTGGCCTTAAGCGCGAACTAATCGCTGTTTTTTCTTCCTCCTTTGGCGTACGCGGTCACGGCCTTCTTATCGCAAGCTTCGGTAAAATGAAATACCGAGTCGAAACTTCCTGTTCGGGCATCGCTCTGCAGTAGAAAGGTCATTTTATTTTAGCATATCCGAAGGGAGGGAGCCATATCTCTACGACGCTTGCTGTGTTCTACGTACTCTTACTTTCTGCTTGCGAGAAATATAACTCCAACCGTCGGAAAAGCTTATCTATGGCTTCATTCTAGCCTGGCAACAGCGGTTGAATTTAAATCTCATTTATATGGAGGCTAAATGCCTCCATATAAATGAGATCTAACTGCACTGTTACCTGTGCAGTTAGATTTTGGTACACGTTAAAGAACATAACATGGTCGAAATTTCCGGAGTCCTCCACGGTGGCGTCCCTCATAATCACTCCGTGGTTACTACTCGTAAAAGTCCAGGTATTTTTGTCTGTTTTTACTGTTGCTGCTCATGCTGCCACCACCGTCATCGTCGCATTAGTAATTATTCGTCGTGTTGAAAAAGTTGACTGCAAAATGAGAACTGCTCTTCAAGAGAATCAACATTACTAATTTACCTGTAGTGAGGACGAATAGCGTTTTGCGATATGAGAAGTCCCTTTCTTTCCTATTCAGATGTGTAGTTGCGCAAACGTACAATTTCATATAATAGGGCATCTTTGAATATGAAAAACATTAGTTGACCAATAAACAGTGTACTTGCACCCTTCGTCTTTCATTAATATAAAAAGCAAGAACAAAGTATTGATAAACACTGCAGAAACGTGCCAAAACTGCATGAAGCGTTTCTGAACGAGTGCCAAGTATGAAAGCCCACCCAATCACATTTCATAGCCGTAATCGGAAGAACAACCTTTCATATTTTCGCACGGATGCACAGTTTGTTCAAGTAAAAAAACATTAGTACATTTAAAAATTCATTAAGTAAGAGTATGGTAAAAGAACTTTGTAAATAAGAAAATGTCCAAATAGAAGGTTTGAATGTTCGTGCATATGTACGTGTACGCTTACAATGAATCAAGCTTAATTCAAATGAATAAATCAATGCAAATTGATTTATTTATTGATTGATTGTGTTCTAAAGTGTCCTCACACTTCCGTTATCTGGGCCATCGTCGGACAAATATATACTAGGCATTTTCGATTAGCGGACGCAAGCGTTGAGGCGTCTCTCGTTTATGAGCTTGGGCTGTAGCTGCAACTGTGTTAAGTGTTGATAATTTATTGCATAGCGTGTGCAGCGACTACATTGCAAACCTGTCTTCGATCGCACGTTCTGAAGTGCAAGTAATGTTGCATCACTGCCGTTAACTGACAAGATCCTTCGCAAATTGACTTTCCTTTTTAGTTGCCGCTCGATGACTGGTCCACAAGGGCAATGCAGACGTCAGACGAACCAGACGCTGGCTTCGAGAAAGTGAAGCACTGGTAATACTGCTGTTTTATTGCACACCTGATACAACCACGTCTCTTCACGTCCGAGTGGCCCGTGTACAGTCGTTCAGTGATTTCATCTGTGAATGCCAGTAACAGGACTGGAATTGACCGGATCTTGCTGAACTGACGAACCTCTTTCACGCCCAAGATGCTATCCGTACCTCTGCACACCGATTAGAACCCTGAAGACATTTAGTTCGTAATCGTGCGGTATATATCTGATACGAGTGTGTACTGCACTGCAAACTGAATAAATGAAAGGTATAAATGACAGTTCACTGCAGCATTTCTTCCCGTCCTAACTTTCTTTCAGTTTTCGTGATCTTAAGGCAAATATTCGCACTGCGTGCGTTATCCCTGCTTCCTGTTGCATAACTATTAGAAATCCAGAAAATTCCTAACGTTCAGTGTACAATTTGGTTTATTCGTGTGAGGGATGTTACTTAGGATTTAGAAAGTGATTTTAACCAAAACGCTGATTTATTGGAACAATAAACTTCGGAACAACCTCAGCTTTTGTTCTTGAGAGCTAAACTCGAACAGTAGGGCAATGCAGATTTTTGTGATGTCCGCAAGAACATAGAGAATAGGTGTGCACCTAAAGATTTACTACCCGTGGCAACAGCCCTTAATTGTGTCATTCATTCATATAAGACAGAGGGCAATACAGTGGCTTGAATGACAACGAGATGCGGTGACGTCCACGCCGAAGCCTGCTGTGGCTAGATATATATATATATATATATATATATATATATATATATATATATATATATATATATATATATATGAGATATAACAGACAGTATATCTCATTATTATTGTGTTAAAAACACGGAAAAACGAGCCCTTAGGTATACACTTCTTTCCCTTATTATATATATCATATCTATATCATTCTCTTGACCATGAGGACAATACATTTTTACAGTGAGGTTGCTACCGGAAGAATATATATTAGCAGCGATTGCAGTTTATAATGTTTCATTAATGTTTCATATTCCCTTTTTTATTCTGGCTGGTAGAATGTACTTAAGCCAAAACCTGCAGCTAGCCCAAGTTTAAACATCAACATGAGTGTGTTGCCTCGTGAATGATTCTGTCACGGACTGCCATTTTTGCGACCCGGCGTCACGGCAATTAACGGGCGCCGTACTACCCCGCTGACCGGCGGGAACGGCGGGCGCATGAAAGAGAGCCGGGAAGTGCATAATGGGGTGTTCTTCTTCGAACGTCACCGCCGACGTTTGATCCTTTGTACAACAATGTTGATCCTTTGTACCTACGGCGGCGTCTGCAGGGTCGTGGAAAGCCGCGAGGTACCCGAACAAGGTTTAGACTACGTACGGGACGCACCGGCTGAGAGCCAAACAGTTTGACCGTCCCACGGAAAAACTTCTGGTGGCCAAGCCGTATGACAGCACCCCAACAGGTTGTCACTCTGGCTAGTTGAGGGCCCTCTCCTAATTAAAAAGAAGTGGGGTCAGTATATTTTTGGGGCGGAGTTTCCAACAATGAAACGCGCATGATTGGATCCATGTAGAGGTCTCTTGTCCCCAAGGAAGAGAGTAAGGGGACACGAGGGGGATTTAAGCGCAGGATTTTGCCCTGCTAGGTAGGCTAGTCGCTGACCAACATGATTTAGAAACAGGTCAACAAGTATCCCTTCTAGACGTTTTTAGTGTGGCTCTGTATCGGCTGGCCACCTAAACTTAGCCGTTCGTCTAGTTGTGACGCGATATTAACGTCTGCCACGTAGACACCGGGACTTCGCCTCGAGTTAGCTCAACCTGCCCGAGGTCACCTGCAAGCACTAGCCTCCCGGAGCCACCAGCGTTGCGACACTGCCGACATCGCAGTCGTGCCAGAACTCTGACTTCTCGCATCCGATCGTCGGGGACGCAACGCTGCCGGTCAACACACGTATGCCTTCACCTGTTTATATCTTCGAACTTTCTCCTCCGTAGTTCTATTGTTGTTAGTTTGTGTAGTTTGTAATAGTTCTCTCTCGTAAGCTGGTTTATTGTTCTTTATATGTATTTTTGTTGTATCAAGTGTTGATGTATTTTGTTAGTTGTATTGAAGTGTTGTACTAGATCCCGTGTGCTGCAATATCACTAGAGTAAAGTTTGTTTTGTTTTCTTGTGTCTCTGATCTCTTCACTGTCTCTGCTTGCGTACGGAACAAACTAACCTGTTGTCATTCCCGTCGCCGACTTCACGCTGGCGACGCTAGAGTGGCAGCTTGTAACAGATTCATATTAGCTTTTTAAGATAGAACAGCTTTTCAAGCTATCTATTGTCACTTGCGTTGTTCAAAATCGTCAATCCGCGCAAAATTGCCCGAATTTATGCTTCAAGCCGTTCAAGTTTCAAGTCATGTTCTCTGTGGTTACCATCATTCTGGTATTTAGACGGCGCGGAGAAGTGAAGCGAAGAAAAATCTTGAAAATCTACATGTCCCCGAATCGCGTATGACAATGAACAAGAAAGGGTGTCGCGAATGTGAGGAAAGCTCATACCTGTCTTTTCGCTCCCGTCCACTTACCTGCTGGCCGAGGACGCAATTAAGGAAGGCAATCATGCGCAGTGAAGCAAGGTGTATCAGCGTCGCGCTCATCGTCTGTTATGGCGGGCATTTCAGAGCCTATGACTCTCTCTCTCGGCGTGGGTGAAGTCCAGCGATTGAAGTAGGGCTATAGCTGAGGCTCTTGCTTTTTATTTTCGTTAAAGTGACGCCTAAATTAACAATGTAATTATTTTTCAGAAACATTTCGTTTATGAAGAGGCATTACTTGCAACAGGTCTGATGGAATGGCGGTGCTTATCTGAAGAACAAAACTGAGAGCACGTGCAATGCGCCCTGCGTGCCACTCGGTGGTGCGGATGTTAGGAAGACTTTTGGACGTAAAGCTTAGTTGCGAGTAGCGCCTGCCTTGTCCTTCTGTGTGCGTTGTTTTTGTTGTTAAATTTAGCACTATTCATTTCTAAAAAAAATAAAACAACTCGCGTAGCAACGTATTATGCTGAAAGAATACTGAAGAGTTCAAGAAAAAACATTTGGCCGCTTGAAATCGTAACTA